GGTGTCTAACAGTCTATCACTGAGCAACAGCTACCTTAGATGGCAGGATAAAAAATAATAAAAGGATAATAGAAGCTCTCTCCCCCTTTCAGAAATGTTTCAGAGTAAGAGAGTGAACCACACTGCTGCTTTAGACAATCACAGCGCATAAAAATTTATGGTTTTCAAATGAGCAAACATATAAAAAATCTAAAAAAAGGATCAATATCTGTTACCAGGCCTTCCAGTTTCTAAGGCGATTAGACACTGCTGGTTATTAAAATTAATGTTCCTCATGCACTACTTAATTGGCTAGTTTTCAAGTGGTGAAGTTCTACAAGAATATAATTGTTTCCTAATGAACAAAGTAGGTTACAACTTCTAAAAACTTCCAGAGACAGCTCAGTACAGGATCTATACAAAAGAAACATGCTGGGATTTCTGTTTTACCTGGTCTAAAACTTTTCCTATTTTACCTGTCAGAATACATATTCATTCACTTCTTTATTGTCTCAGAAAGTAAATTATTTGGTTGTAATAACAGTAGGATGTTTCCCTTGTCTCTTCATTAGCATCAGCTCCCAGAAATACAGTTACACATAGTATTTCTAAACACTGGCGTGTCCTGCAGGTACAAATACTATCTGCAATTCCCCGGGATCAACAGCTCTTCAAGGAGAGCTGGATCTTCAGCGTGGCAAAGATGAGCATATGGTTAGTTATAGAGATAAAACCACATTATTCTGCTAGTCTCCTTTCTGCTGTAAATACCGTCCTGGCCATGGCACACACTACCTTTTGAGAAATCACACTGTAAGATGGGATCAAAGGATGCCACAGCATGCAGTGTTGTGACATACTGCACATAACAGCAGCACTGTCACTCAAAGAGAAACATTCATAATGTAACAGTCATGAGTCACGAGTACCCTTTCCCTCGGCAAAGGTATTAAAAGTGGAAAGGGAATGGCCCATGAAAACACAAATACACCACTGTACTCATTTGAAAAAGACATCACACCCAGGCCCACAAGCGAGGGGTCAAAAAAAGCTGCAATTGGGCAGTAAAGCACAAAGATACAATAAAATACTGTTTAAATAACATAAAGATAATACACTCACTAATTAGTAAAAAACACGAGAGAGGTTTTAGACTTAATGTATAATTAAATTAATAAAATGCTAAGTATTCAAGTTCCCCTTCTACATAGATATAAATGATTTTTACTGGTTTTGTTTGACTTTTGGAAATGAATCACTGATGTTTTCACCTAAAGTGTTCACTACTGGCTTTGCATACAGACACACACAGTTCATGTCATCCCCTGCAACCCACACAAAGGCGATCCCAAGTATAACTATTGTTTCTAGAACCTGTGAAGTGGTAGTATACTGAAAACTGCAGTTTTCCTCTGCAATTTTGACAGATATGTAGTTTACATAAAAGTTACTGTATCAACATCATCTCAAACCAGGCTACTGGTAGTCAGAACTATAGAAGGTATGAACAGGTCTGTTCACAGGTCTGAAGTCTAGTTTATCAGGATGGGCTTGCTCCTTTGTTGCATTACAGTGCCTTTTACAAAGGCCAGAACCTCACAAATTGCACATCCATCTGCTACTGAACCTCCATCTCAACGCATTAGTCTGCTCCTCACTGGTAAAATGCCTCAGGTAAACTATGTCTACACCTCTTTACCTGCCTTCTCCCCATTCCAGCTACACTGTTCATTGGTGAATGACACGTGTTTCCTCTCTACTGCCAGTTTTCAGGAACAGTTTCACCAAGAAACCTTTCCAATACAGTCAAACCACCCTTTGTCGACCAGCCAACTCCAGTCTCACACCACAGAGACGCATATATTTCTGTAGCAGGCACCTTCAGCAGAACATCAGCCTAAGGTGGGTGACAATATTTTGCAACCACAGCCTGGGACGTGTGTGCTGCTTTGCAGCCTCTGCTCAGGTTAAAAAGCACGTGCTGTTCCATATCTGCTCCTGTCCACAAGGAAATGTTTTATGAAAGTATATTTATGCAGGTGTGAATTACAATTAGGTTTGCCAGACATATCAATTGACTCTTTGGTTGTGGTTGAGCTGAGGCCCCATCAGAATTTAAAACCTGAAAGGAAAGAGCTGCTTTAGGAAACAAACATATTTATTGTCTTCATTATTTGGAATAAAATACTGTTTGATACCTTGTCTGGTGCCAAGGGAAAGCACTATTGATACACTATCTTATCTTTTTCAGATCCCTTCTGCCATCCTCAAGAGCAAACAGATGGCTAACTACAATGAGTAGGTTCCACCCACATAGAAATTCAAAGGAAAACAAAGAACTACTCACTTTACAGTCACTGCTTCTCTTTGAACTGTTCCATGCACGAGGATATCAGTTTACCTTAGGCTTCCCCCTGGCAGAGTATAGCTCTGCTCCTACCTGAGCTCTGAAAGGCAGCTGGGAGCACATTGTCCTTCACAGTTCATGATAAAGTAAGAGCAGAAGTGATGCACAGCTCTGTGGCCCTTCATGAATGTAAGAAGTACTCCAGGCTTCTACACACAAGGTACAGAAACACACATCCTGACCCACACACAACAGCTAGAAGAGCAAGTTATCTTTACTGCTTTGTAGTACACAACTGCCTTTCACAATCCTGAAGTGAGCCATTGGCTTTGTTTAATTCAACTAGATGTTTCTTATATCTACAGACAGAAAAAAATAGGGTTTTTGTGTACAATGTTCCTCTTAGCACTAAAAAAACATTACAGAGGTTCACATCAACAAATAGGAACACAATCAATGACAAATACAAAATACTTCAGAATAAACGTTACAGTACATCTAGTAGCTCAGTAAAACACAGCACACATAGCCTAGGAAACATTCTAAAACAGAAAAAGAAAAAATATTTTCTTTACCTTAGAAGTCCTTATATCCCAAGCTTTAACTTCTGGGCTGAACCCTCCACAAAGGAAAATATTTGACTCTGTAGGGTGGAACTTGAGTGCACTGATCCTAAATTCTGTTTTGCTGCTAAATATTTGCTTCCCTAAAATAAAGTGAAAAGTGAAGATCAAAATTTGAGCAGAAAATGAAATATGCAACTTAGTTTGAAAAATATTAAGGTTGTCAGAGGTGAACAGGCTTATATTACAAATTTCAAGCTGAGGCTACTCTATGAGTACTACTCACGTGAGACTGGTCTTGCTTATAATAGGCCTCTGCACCACTGACTGCTTCCTATCAAAAGGAGAGAATGAGTGGTTTCCCACACTAAGGAGAGGAGTTCCACCAAGGTACCAGTCCAGTCAATATGCAGGAATAAATCTACAAATCCAATGGCTGAATGCTTCCCTATAGAGATGCCAGAGTCTTCATTTCAGTGAGACAAAAATAACTAGAAAAAATATTGTCTGCACAGAAATAGCACATCTCAATCTATATTACAACTCTTGAGTTGTTTACTTGTCTTTCTGTGAAGGTAGGAGTGAAACTTCATCATGAAAGTAGGAAATAATTTGCATACCATCATATGAAGGTTGTTCCCATGGATACACTGCTCCCAACATTTAATTGTGTTCACTAATCTCCACAGGATCCTGTGGTTGGTATCAATTGGATTGTTGACACTTTTGAAGGCAGCAGAATTCAGCTAGGTTATTTTATAGAACTTTTCCACAGAAAATAATTTCAGCTAAAAACATTACTGACAGATGTAAATACTTACTCTGAGGGGTACAATACTGAAAATCATTCATATAGATTTTTTATGCTTATTTCATGATCTGGGGCCAATTCATTTTATTTCATCACCAGTTCCATTTTCTCCATCTGCAGAACTCATTTTACACACTCAAGAGGCTAAAAATTGTCAAATGATTTATTTATTCAGTTTAAAGATAAGAAGAAAAAGATTTTACTTCATCCCATGCGCTCATCAAGCTAGCAGGGGCAAGGAAAATAGATTGTCGGGAGTGTGAGGGAGAGATGATTGTTGTTGTATGTGAATACTGGTATTTGCAGGGGATTTTTGCCCTTTTAAAAATGATTCTCCACTGATTGCCCATGCAAGGTCTCAAGGGCCGCTCTGTCACTACTAAGTGAAACACTTAATTTAGTCCATAAGTTTCTTCTCCAAAATGAGAAAAAGAGTCATAAGGGCAGCAGAGGTTCTCTCAACAAGTCATATCTAACAGTGACCATCTCTCTCCATGGGAATTTTCAGATCCCCAACAGCTACAGGGGGAGAAAAAGACGCCATAGGGAAAGAAGAAAGTATTAAAATCATCAGTTATAGAAACAACAAGATATTGCTCTCATGTACACCACTATCAGGTGTCATTTGAGGGGGCTTTAGAAAAGCCACTCTCATCCACAGCACTTAAGAAAATACTGAATTTCCCCATGGAGGCTCACTACTCAGTTTAACAGCATTTTGCTCCCAAAGGAATTTGGTTCCTACTTTTTCCCAGCTTAATAAAAACTCCAGGAGTATAATCAACAAGTTTTCAATGGGACTACAGCCAGAAATTAGTATAAATGCAGCCTACCTGTACTAATCTGTCACACAACTTAATAAAGGACACATCAAATGATCACTGTTCCCCACAAAGTGTGTTGTCCAAACGACATTAGACATATAGATAAGTGATCCAGTGGAACTCACCATTAAACTTTTGGACAAGCACTGCCTTTACTTTGTGTTTACCTACACAAGACTTCTGAAAACTGCTTTTTCTATAATGTGTACTCATGTTCTCCAGCCTAAGACACAAGGAAGTCAACCAAAAAGATGTGCATTAAATTCAAGATGCATTTCATCTACTAACTACAAGATGCTACCTTTTCCACAGAAAGACTGATTTAACATCATTTGTTATTAATTACTCAATTTTACAATTTTATCTCCAACTGCTTCCAAATAATTCAATCATTCGCCTGATATTTTCTCCAGAAACTAAAATGCTCCAATTCCCTACTCTGTCTTCCCCTGTTTTAAAGAGAAATGGGCACTGTATTTGCCCTTTTCTTGTCTTTTAGAGGCTGTTATTTATCCCAAAGTTCTAAGCAATAGTCACTAATATAATTAAAACATAACGACCTCAGTGTTATGAATTCTACATTACAGTGTAATAATAAATAAAATAAATGAAAACAATTAGAATCTTATTCACTCCTACACTCTTTATCTCCTTCTTTTTCCTATTTTAAGCTGCTACCTTAACACTTAATGCAGATATTAACCATTAATCTTACAAAGTCAGGCTCTCCAATTAATACTTTGAAATACAACTCTCTCTTTTGTCCTCTCACTCCCCCAAAGTGAAATTTAATCTCTTTTTGGAAACTGAGTACAGTGTTCTAAAGAGTTTGGCGTTATTAGATGTATGCATTATTTTCATTTTACTGCCATGTCACAGAAAAGAAGCAAGACTAGAATGTGGATGAGCTGAGCAGCAGCAAACATACTCAAAAGGGGAGGATCACAATGTTACAGAAAGGAAACCCTCCTATTGCCAGATTTAAAATTTATGCACAATACACTTGCAGAACTTCAAAAATTTAGGAAAAATATCCATCTGAGAGATGGAACAGATCAATGCCGAAGATGAGATGGAGCAAATTAGCTCATTCAATTCAGTAATTTGAAAGAGTAAGTTCAACTCTTAGCCTTTTTCTGTACAAATTTTATTTAGTGTGTTACAGTACTATGAGCAGAATTTGCTGCTTTCCCTGCTATGAAGGAACTATCCCTACAGCTTAGGAAATCCAGCTTCAGTGCTTGCTAGAGATCCTCCTCCAGCTTTCTGAAAATCGTTATTTACAGTTACTTTTTTTTTTTTTTACAATTATTCAGTTTATTAACATTAAATA